TGGAGATGGCGGTGCCAGGGAGAAGAGCAGCAGGTTCAGCCAGAGGCTCCTAAAGGCTCTGCCCAGTTTCTTGGCGTGGAAGATGTGACCAGCCAGCAGGGGCTGGGGCTGGCCCCTCCTGGCCCCTGTTACCCAAGGTAAAGGACCCCTGGATGGTCAAGTCCAGCCAAAGGCGACTATGGGGACTTACTTCTGAGTAAGCGTGCATCAGATGGAACGGCGTAGGGGTTACTCCTAAGTAAGCGTGCATCAGGCAGGGCTGCAGAGTGGTGCTTCCAGTTTGCACATCTCATGGGATTTAATGTCTTGCCATTATAAATGCACGGGGATAAGTGCATTTATAGAGACACATTTCCACAAAACACCAAAATTCCGGCATGTAGCCGCAGGTGACACAATAGGAGCCTTTCTGCAAATGGCCTTTGCAACACAACTCACTGGGTGGTAACAAAGTACACACATTGGCCTCTTTGCAACGTAGCCCCGTTTCCTCAATGAATCCACCCATTTCAGTAAAATCTGAGCTGAAATAGTAAGGAGAGCAAAAGAGCAGCCCTGTCTGACCCCCGTCAGCCTCCAGACTCCCCCAGTCACGTGGCAGGAGATTCATCCTGAGCCCCCCCCCTCCGTGAGATGGGTATGACATCATGGATGATCCATATGAACCATTGATGATCCACATGATCCAAGCAGACTGGTCCAAAGAACAGATCTCTAGGCCTGAATGAAAAGGGTCTGCCAAGATGGATTCTGGAGTCAAGAAATCCTCCCTTTCCAGTGATCTCTCAGGCTGGCCCGGAAAAGGCAGCGAGCAGGAATCCTCAGGCATCTCGACGGACAGACCTGTCATGTTGCCAAAACACGAACTCGGAGTCTGATCTGATTTAAATGCAGAACTCATTTTGTGACTTCGCTGTTGGATTGTCGGGATCAGCCCCTCCCCCCTCTCCTGATCCCCAGAAGGAAGACGGGGGGGGAATTTCCTCTCCTCCTCCCCCCCCCCGCTCAATACTTTTCCTCCCCTCCCGGCAGATCCTCCTCTCACCCCGCCCCCACAACCCCAGATCCCGCCCCCAATACATTGCTCCTCCTCCTCCTCCTCCTCCTCCTCCTCCTCCTCCAATCCGGTTTCTGCTCCAGAAATGGGGGGCGGGCAGCCCCCCTCCCAACCTGCCTTCTTCTCCCGGAAGTGGAGCTTCCACTCCGGATTGCTGCTCTGCCCCAAAGCTGGGAGGGGGGCGCTTTCTGAAAGGGGAGGGAGGAGGCAGGGGACCCCCCCCCCGTGGATGTTGCAGGAAAGGAGGATCGGGAGCGAGGAGAAAGAGGTAAAGGGGTCCGGGGGGGAGGAGAAGGAGGGGGGCTAGAAGAGGACCCAGAGACCCCCGCCAGCTCCCCCAAGCGCCCCCAGGGGGCTTTCCTCGCAGGGCGGACCCCTCACCCGTCTCCCGTGGCTCTGCGCGGAGAAAAGCGGCCCATGAAAGGGTTAAGCGGCGCGAGAGACGCCTGGATAGAGACCCCCCTGTCCCTCCCATGCTTCTCTTGGGGGGGGGGGCGCCTCCGGCTGGAGAGATGGGGGCTCAGGGTGTGGGGTGAGCAGAGCCAAGGGAGCCTCTGGATGCAGGGGAGACTCCGGGAGAGAGGGATGGGGTCAAGGAAATTGGGGGGGGGAGGGAGAGGAGCATCCCTGGGGCAGGGAAGGGCAGCATTGGCGGCGGGGGGGGGGGAGATATCGCGTCTCCATTGTGGCAGCTGGGGGGGATCTCTGGTGGAACAGCCTTGGCCTCTCTCTCCCGCCCAGTAATCGACCCCCCCCTTTAAGGCGACCAGAGAGGGATCCCTGGAAAGTGGGGGTCCTGTCCCCCACCCTTCCTTCCTGCAATCTCTATCCTCTTCCTGCCCCATAAGCCCCTGCCCTGTCCAGACACAGCGATTCTGCCCAGTCCATTCCTTGGTCCCCTGGAGAGGAGAGGAAGTCCAGAGGAAGAGATGTCAGTATTTGTAGAAAGAAAAGAGAAGGTTCTGGCCTCCCTTGGTCGCCTCAGCCTGGTCCTTGGGCCCTTGTCAGCATGAAAGAGTCCACGAGAAGAGGATCCTTGCAGAGTACTTTCTGCTTTTACAGTGGTACCTCGGGTTACAGACGCTTCAGGTTACAGACTCCACTAACCCAGAAATAGTACCTCAGGTTAAGAACTTTGCTTCAGGATGAAAACAGAAATATTGTGGTGGTGGTGCAGCGGCAGCAGGAGGCCCCATTAGCTAAAGTGGTGCTTCAGGTTAAGAACAGTTTCAGGTTACGAATGGAACTCTGGAACGAATTAAGTACTTAACCCGAGGTACCACTGTATTCTCAAAAGTCTTTCTGCAAAAGCGACTGACCAACTGTACACACATCAACACTGCCAGCTTTCACCAACCAACCAACCCAACACCAAACTAACATTTCTCACTCTATATATACAACCCGCAGCTTTTTAAGCATTAAAGAAACAGCGGCCAATTTTTAGCTGTGACAAGAGAGGAGGGGAGAGGCCTTCTCAGAAGCAGCTCTTGGTTTCCGTAATCTCACCCAGGAAGCAGCCACAAGCCTTTTCCTCTCTCTCAGGCTTCCATCTTTAATTGTCCTTTCTTGAGGGTGAGGATAATGTACACCTGTCCTCAGAAACAGGGGTGCAGAGTCCATGGAATGGCTCTCAGGATTGATACGGAAGCTGCACCTCAAAAGCATTTCTGTTCCTCTTATTCTTTGTAGGCAATGTCAGAGTGACTGACAAGCTGAGATACAACCCATCAGCATCCGATGACAGCGACTGCATGAATCTTTGGTCACGTGACAAAGACACATGAGAGCAGAAGCAGCCAAGCAGGCTGGGAAGTGCAGGGACTGCACAGTCATTTGGGCCTCCTCAATTTATTCAGGCTTAACTGCTAACTGTGGAGTCATTCTGACATGTGACGTAGTAGCCAGTTGCACTTTGTGCTCTCTGTAAGATTTGAGCAAGAGTCTGTCTGTCTTAGCCCTGAGCAGAGTCTCTATGCAATCTCAGTCAAACTGTTTGGAACCATGTTGTTTATGAAGAAGCTTATTTTAATTCAGTAAAGCTTTTATTCTTTAAAACTCTGCATTATTAATTTACACTGCATGTCATCTTCCCAGTCAAAGGACCCCTTTTCAGGATAGACAGTGCCTGTGGCTGGAGGCTCTACACACCGGGTGTGCCTGTGGAGGCCAAAGACTGCCAGTATTAGCACAGGTGAGGTGTGTGACCTCCCCAAATTTACAGATTGTATATGAATGAGAAGTCGTGGGTGGGATTATATTTTACAGCAATCCTGTGATTTTCTCCACCTATAACATTTTGTGAGCTGATATAGCAGTACGAATTCCAAAATAACTTTTAAAAACCCCACAAGATCATCATCATCATCATCATCATCATCATCATCATCATCATCACATTTATACCCCCAGGCCTTAGTTTGCCTCCCCATGATCTAGAGAAAACACCAGCTTTGAATCATGCAGAGTAAAACTACAAGAACTTTCTTGAACCGATAGGTTAGGAATTATCGCTGTACTTAGATCCGTAATTTTCTATGCCTGTACAATTTAGCAGAGTAACATTCTCCCTTTTAAACTTACAGCGGATGCATTTGCTTAGGCTTGATAAGCCTCTAAAATAAGATTCCTTGGTAATTTCCACTTTAGTCCCTCATAAAAAGATAGACACGACACAATCTTCTATAAAAGTATAAAAAGAGTTGACTCACACATTCTGTTCACAAATGGATCCCAGAAGGCGGTGACCCCCAGGCTGCACACCTGGTCCTTCAGGGGCACAGTTACCCCATCAGGACCAGGAAGGCTCCCACCCTCCCCCAGGGACAGTATTTCTGACTTGTCAGGATTCAACCTCAATGTGTTAGCCGCCATCCATCCTCCAACCACCTCCAAACAGACACACAGGGCATTCACCATCTTCACTAGTTCCAATTTAAAAGAAAGGAAGAGAAATGAGATTGAAAATGACAGACGATGCGGAATTGGATAAATTAACTGGGAAAATCAGATATACCAAAGACCAAAAGTTCATCGAAGACTGGGGAAAGTTTGTAGATTAGCTGAAAAACATATGTGGTGTGAACACAACGCTAGTGGGATTTCAAGAGGCACTGTAAAAACGGAGAAGTATTGTTAAAGGGAAATAGTGGGAGAAGGGAAGTGTAATGGCAATACAAAAGGAGGAATGTGTAACTACAGTTATAAATATGGATGATTGTCAGAGACGCTGAAGGAAGTTAAAAAAAAGAAAGAAGTAATCTGTTGTATTTTGGAAAATTATATAATTGTTTGGAAAATTAATAAAAAAAATTGGGGAAAAAAAGAAAGAAGAGCTGGGCATCATCCACATACTGGTGAACACCCAGCCCAAACCCCCTGATGATCTCTCCCAGTGGCTGCATATAGATAGTAAAAAGCATGGGGGAGAGAATGGAGTCCTGAGGCACCCCACAAGTAAGCATCCAGGGGTCTGAACACCACTTTCTGGACATGGCCCAGGAGGAAGGAGGGGAACCACTGCATGGCAGGGCCCCCAGCTCCCCTAGAGGGTCCGGAAGGACACCATGGCCAAAGGTCTCCAAAGCCGCTGAAAGATCCAGCAGAACCAGGAAACAGCTTCCCCCTCAGCCTCTGGCCCGTTGGAGATCATCAACCAGCACAACCAGGGCAATTTCAGTCCCATGATGAGGCCTGAATCCCAATTGGAAAGATCATGGTAACAGGAGCTTTCCTGGTCCTTCACCCCCAAAAGCTCCAGCCACAAGACTTTTCATTAGCATGGGCAGAATCTGCCTTCTGGACTGTGGGATTCACGGTTGTTCTCCTCCTCTCCATCCACCAGGGCTTGACTTCAGGTGCAGCAGAATTCCCCAGTCCCCCAAGGATTTGAGACCCATCAGCTATCCTCACCTGGTTTTGCCAGCCGGTTGAAGCCATTCCTGGGATTGTGGCCCCTGATTCATCCTGACAGCTTCTGGAAGGCACAGGTGAGAGCTGAGTGCAGGGTGGGGACCACCAAAGGTACTACCACTCCCATGACACCTCATGACATCATATAATAGCTATATTTGAGACAGAACCTGAATGAATTCCTGTCTCTAGAAATAACACAACTTCATGCCATCAATAATTCAACACTACATATTCAAGGTTGAAGTTTTCACTAGTACAGTTATCCATTTGCCTTTAATATGCAGCTTTTCCAGTGTCACTTTAGGATGGGCTCGAGATCAGGCAGCCCCTCATTATTATAAGGAGCAGTGGGGGTCTGGGATTCCGATGTGCCAGCTGCTTTTCTTCTGCTTCTCCTGCTCTCGCCATGCAATGTGAGGCATGTAGATGGAGGTCCATCTCCAAGAACAGGAGCTTCCCTGAGCACCCATTCAGCTGACCCCAAGCACCAAGCCTTGTCACTAGTTCTCTGACTGACCCAGACCACAGTCCCTGGAGAAGATGTAGATCTGGGCCTCCCAAAATGGTCCACATGGACCTCTTGTGGCAAATGAGACTGTGCAGGTGATTCATAAAGATCTAGAGGTGGATGCAGGATTATGATGCAGAGGATGGGGAATGTCCAAAGGAACGATGGACCAGAGAAAGAGAGGGCCTGTTCACGGACAGAGAGCAGCTGCCTTTCCTGTGAGGAAACAATTGATTTGAAAAGGCTGTGTTCCAAGATCACGCTGCTTTATTAACAATGATTGAGGATTATGAAAGGTGGTGATGCTTTACTATCATTTGATGACATTGCTTTTTCATTTCCAAAATTTGGGAACATGGGTAGGAGGCGGGGGAATGTAGGAGATGTTGAAATAAGAGAAGGGGCTAATGGCGCTTGATGTGTTCTCTTTCCCTTTGTTCTCTTCCTTGAAACCCAAACAGGATTTCCTTTCCTCCCACTTTGAAGAAGGTGATGGAGAAGACATTCAGAATTCCAAGGAATGGGGCACCTTTCGTTTCATGAGGAATAGAAATTAAAATGTGGGAAATGTGGGAAATGCTTTCATTGTTTTTTTTTTTTTTAAAGAATTTTTTATTGCTTTATTTCCAAGGTCAGAATACATCGTCCATGACACAACAAAAGCAGTTTTACAAGAAAAAAGAAAATTTAAATATAAGAAAATTCATTTTTCCAAATCTTTTTTTCATCATCTACTGGACTTCCCCACATCCTCCATCCCTGCATTCTTACAATAAAAATGAACAGCAAATTAATACCTTGTTTCATGTGTTTTTGTACTTTCATCTAATTATTTACTCTGAAGTTTGAACTTTTCTCAATCATAACTTAATTTCAATCATATCCGAATCTCAATACGGAAGCATGTTTTTCTCAAAACTTAGCAAATTTTCAACATTCATATAACTTATAATGTTTTTTGTAAATACTCCTTAAATTTTTTCCAGTCCTCTTCCACTGCCTCTTCTCCCAGGTCTCGGATTCTGCCAGTCATTTCAGCCAATTCCATATAGTCCATCAGTTGCGTATGCCACTCTTCCAGCGTGGGTAACTCCTGTGCCTTCCAGTATTTGGCTATAAGGATTCTTGCTTCATTGAATGAGGACACATAGCTCACATCAATGACTCCAAGAGGGGAGAAACCATTTAAAAGTATGGAGTGTGGGGAAAAGTTTCAGTGATAGTAGAAAACTTAGAACACATCAGCGGACTCACATGGACAAGAAAGGATTCCAATGCAGGGAGTGTGGGAAGAACTTCAGTCAGAGTCAATTCCTCAATATACACCAGCGGACTCACACAGGGGAAAAACCATTTAAATGCATGGAGTGCGGGAAAAGCTTCCGTCAGAGTGGACACTTAAGTTCACATCAACGGACTCACACAGGGGAGAAAACATATAAATGTATAGAGTGTGGAAAGAGCTTTAGTTATAGTGCAGACCTTAGAAAACATCAACGGATTCACACAGGGGAGAAACCATATAAATGTATGGAGTGTGGAAAGAGCTTCAGTCAGAGTGATAGACTTAGAATACATCAACGGACTCACACGCGTGAAAAACCATATAAATGTATGGAGTGTGGAAAGAGCTTCAATCAGATTGGAAAATGCAATATGCATCAACGGACGCATACAGGGGAGAAACCTTTTACATGTAGGGAGTGTGGAAAAAGCTTCTGTCAGAGTGGACAGTTAAGTTCACACCTACGGATTCACACGGGTGAAAAACCTTTCAAATGCATGGAGTGTGGGAAGAGCTTCAGGCAGAATGCAGAACTTAAATTACACCAGCGAAGTCACACTGGTGAAATACCATATAAATGTATAGAGTGCGGAAAGAGCTTCAGGCTGAGTGGAGACCTTAGAAAACATCAACGGACTCACACAGGGGAGAAACCATTTCAATGTATGGAGTGTGGAAAGAGCTACAGTCAGAGTGGACAGTTAAGTTCACACCTACGGATTCACACGAGTGAAAAACCTTTTAAATGCATGGAGTGTGGGAAGAGCTTCAGGCAGAATGCAGAACTTAAATTACACCAGCGAAGTCACACTGGTGAAAAACCATATAAATGTATAGAGTGCGGAAAGAGCTTCAGTCAGAGTGGAGACCTTAGAAAACATCAACGGATTCACACAGGGGAGAAACCATTTCAATGTATGGAGTGTGGAAAAAGCTTCTGTCGGAGTGGAAGCTTAAGTTCACATCAACGGACTCACACGGGTGAAAAACCATTTCAATGTATGGAGTGTGGAAAGAGCTTCAGTCGCAGTGGGCACCTCAATAAACATCACCAGACTCACACAGGGGAGAAACCATAAGAATGCATGGAATGCGAAAACAGCTTCAGTTTCTTTTCTTTATATATATATATATATATATATATAAGATTTATTAAGATTTTTGAAATATTACCGTAAAAATGAAAAAGAAAAAGAAACAGACAAAATAAAAACAGTTAAAAACACACCTATTTTCTATTACTTATTTTCCTTTAGCTTATTTCCCAGTTCTAATCATACCTCCCTTTTTTGTATTCCGCTTCAATTCATTGGTTCAGCAAATCCTTACCATTAGATTTTAACCCATTTATAACCCTTTTTTCATATTCTCTTAAAGCATTACAGCTGGGAACCCTTAATTGCTATCCAACATCATTTTTTCATTCATTAATTTTACAATATTTCTGTAGATAGTCTTTAAATTTCTTCCAATCTTCTTCCACCGACTCTTCTCCCTGGTCTCGGATTCTGCTAGTCATTTCTGCCAGTTCCATGTAATCCATCACCTTCATCTGCCATTCTAATCATATTCAGCAGAACCTCCAGGACCGATATGAAAAGCAGTGGGGAGATTGGGCGCCCCTGTCGTGTCCCTTTTTCTATCTTAAATTCTTCTGTCAACACATTATTTACAATTAATTTAGCCTTTTGTTCAGAGTATATTGCACCTATACCATTTTCAAAACCTTGGCCTACCCCCATCCCCTGTAGGTTCTTCTTCATGAAACTCCAAGATACATTGTTAAAAGCTTTCTCAGCATCCACAAATATCAGAACTGCTTTAGTGTTTATATTCACTTCTAGTTTTTCCAAAATATCAATTATGTTCCTCAAATTATCAGACAAGTGTCTTCCCGGGAGAAAGCCCGCTTGGTCTTTATGAATCTCTTCCATCAATACAAAGAGCTTCAGTTTCAATGCAAGCCTTAGAAGACATCATCTGACTCACACAGGGGAGAAACCATTTAAATGCATGAAGTGCGGAAAAAGCTTCAGTCAAAGGGGAAATCTTAGAAAACATCAACGGACACACAGGGAAGAAACCATTTAAATGTATGGAGTTTGGAAGGAGCTTCAGTCCGAGTGGAACCCTTGATTTACATCAACAAACTCCCACATGAGAGAAACCATATAAATGTCAAGTAGACAGAGGTTCAGTCCTAGTGGAAGTCCTACATCAACAGACTCATGGACAGGAAGAACTTTAACAGTTGACACCCTACAAACCCATCAACCCTCAAAGAGGAGAAGCTGTTTAAAGGGAAAGATTGCAGTAAGTGCTTTAGTTATAATGGAGTGTTTAAGGAACATCTAAGGACTCAGAGGGGAGAACCCATTTAGATGTATGGAGTGTGGGACATGTTCTTTTCAGAGTCCACTCTTTTGTTCACAGCAATGAACTCAGCAGGAAATCCATCTTAAAAGCATGTCATGTATTTGAGGTTCTGCTGTTTATATGTAAAACTGTATAGTAATGAAATAATGAAGGTAACGTCTCACTCTAGTGAGTATAATTTTAGATGTAAGGTACCTTTTGATAGTGAGGGGGAGTTGGTGAATCTGGATTTCTGGGATGCTCATTTGCCTGGAAGCAGCTGGCAGAAAGCTTTTCTTCGGGAAGCCCCTGCAGATGCCGAGTTCCTGACTTCTCTCCCAGGCGACAGGAAGCGAAAGACACACCTCCATTGCCCTGTGTCCTTCCAGCCTCTTTCCTCCCTTGCTCCCTTCTGCCGGTTTGTGTGCCTGACTTGGATATCCTGTGTGCTGTATTTTTCTATTGCTGAAACTGGATTTGCTCTCAGGAGCTACGTTTTGTGCCTCACTGGGGACCCAGTGAGAACTGTATGCTTTGAAAGCTCAGTAAACTATTACTGAAGAAGTCCTGCTGCCTCTTTGTGTGTTTTTGACCTCAGTGTGGGACTTGCTCTGCACGTGGCCCCTACCCTGCTGCTACTTGGCTCATGCCCTGGAGTTGCTCTACTCAAGCATGCAAGACGGTTTTTGCACAAAACTCTGTCATCTCTCCCCCCCCCCACCGCATGATCTCCAAGCACTGCTTCTTCACCCAAACTTCATCCCTGCCTCCTAAGCATTCTGAAGAAAACTGATAATACTGAAAGTTAATGGGTGATTTCCCCCCAAGCCTAATTGCAAGAGGGGAACGGAGGGGCTGCAGGGACCAGGGAAGTGTCCTGATGGGCCCATCTTCACTCTTGAACCCCATGGGGCAACCCCAGAGCTCCTCCTTATTCTGGGGTTTGGGGAAGGTAGTATTTTTCCATAGTCCCAGAAGTTTTTATTCAGTCATGCTGCTAGGGAGTTTTCCTACTGGAGGACCACAGATCATATTGCTATCATACTGATTTTACTGTTGTTTCTGCTTTTGCTGTCATGGAACAGCTGGGTGCCAGGGGGGGGGAAGTTGGGGGACCTACAAGGGAAGAAGGCGTAGATCCTGGGGACTGGTGGGGGGTTGGCAGTGAGCAGAAAGAGGGGGGAAAGGGAGCAGAACGGGAGGGGAGGTGTTGCAAGCTGAGGAGGAAACAGGGTTTGGTGAGCAGGAAGAGGCTGGGGCAGAGAGCAGTTTAGGCTCAGAGAGGGGAGAGTAGGGGGCCAGGAGACCCAGAAGAGGCCGGCTGCTGAAGCATCCAGGGAGACCCCCCCCTCCTGCTGCGACCAGCTCCCCTCTCCCCTGGTCTCCCAGAGCACACTTGTTGTTGTTGCTTAGTCGTTTAGTTGTATCCGACTCTTCGTGACCCCATGGACATGCCGCTAGCCTCAAGAACACCATCCAACCATCTCATTCTCTGTCGTCCCCTTCTCCTTGCGCCCTCCATCTTCCCCAACATCAGGGTCTTTTCCAGGGAGTCTTCTCTTCTCATGAGGTGGCCCAGAGCACACAGAGAAATCCAATTCAGACCCATGAGCCTGTACATTATATTAATAGGCGTAGGGTTTTTTTGTCCCAACATGTATCACTTTAATCTCATTGACAATGAACTGTATTTTCGGCCCATTCAGCCCGTTTGGAGAAGTCCCTTTGGAGCTCCTTGCAATCTCTCTCCTTGCAATCTCTCTTTCTTTGCTCCGGTTGGCTGGACTCCTCCCTTTACTCGGCAGGGACCCGAAGGGCTCAGCCCGACGAGCTGGGGGACTGAGCAGCCTCGCACCTAGATTTTTCTGTAACTCCCCCCCCTCCCAAAGAAAGGCTCAACATCCACGCCCATGTGTGCCTGTGGCCAGCCCAGACCCTGGAGCATCTGCATCTCTGCCCCAGCTTGAAAGTTAGGGGCTGCAGTGCTGGCGAACCTTATCTCCCCCTCCCCGTCCAGACAGAGGAATGGCCTTGTGGGGTTGGACAAGAGAGTCCCATCTGGGTGGTGTGGAGTGGGCAGTGCGGGGGCTTCTAACTGTAAAGTAGGGAGGGCCCTCCTGAGTCATCTAGTTGAACCCCCAGCATAGTAGTAATCTCAGCTAAGCATCACAGGCAGGGGGCCATCCAAGCTCCCCCCACCCCACCCAAGGAAGGCACTCTCCCCACTGGCTGTGCTGTACTGCCCTCTCAATGGCCCCTCCTGGCACACTTTCCTGTGGCCAAAGACTCTTCCCCAGGGAGGGCATCTGAACAAGAGACCACCCCCCTGTAGGGTGCTGTGTTGATGTCCGCCAGGCGAAGGAAAAGCAAAGCAGCTGCGCATTGGCACCGAGGGCTCCCAGACTTCAGCCAGTGCCCTCCAGGTGTTCTGAGTGCAGGCATCGTGCTGGCTGGCACTGAGGGGAACTGCAGGCCCATCTGCCTCGGGGGCACCTGCGTGGAGATGGCGGTGCCAGGGAGAAGAGCAGCAGGTTCAGCCAGAGGCTCCTAAAGGCTCTGCCCAGTTTCTTGGCGTGGAAGATGTGACCAGCCAGCAGGGGCTGGGGCTGGCCCCTCCTGGCCCCTGTTACCCAAGGTAAAGGACCCCTGGATGGTCAAGTCCAGCCAAAGGCGACTATGGGGACTTACTTCTGAGTAAGCGTGCATCAGATGGAACGGCGTAGGGGTTACTCCTAAGTAAGCGTGCATCAGGCAGGGCTGCAGAGTGGTGCTTCCAGTTTGCACATCTCATGGGATTTAATGTCTTGCCATTATAAACTCAAGGGGATAAGTGCATTTATAGAGACACATTTCCGCAAAAAGACCCAAACTCCGGCATGTAGCCGCAGGTGATACAATAGGAGCCTTTCTGCAAATGGCCTTTGCAACACAACTCACTGGGTGGTAACAAAGTAGACACATTGGCCTCTTTGCAACGTAGCCCTGTTTCCTCAATGAATCCACCCATTTCAGTAAAACCTGAGCTGAAATAGTACGGAGAGCAAAACAGCAGCCCTGTCTGACCCCCGTCAGCCCCCAGACTTCCCCCAGTCACGCGGCAGGAGATTCATCCTGAGCCCCCCTCTCTGTGAGACGGGTATGACATCATGCATGATCCATATGAACCATTGATGATCCCCATGATGCAAGCAGACTGGTCCAAAGAACAGATCTCTAGGCCTGAATGAAAGGGGTCTGCGATGATGGATTCTGGAGTCAAGAAATCCTCCCTTTCCAGTGATCTCTCAGGCTGGCCCAGGAAAAGGCAGCGAGCAGGAATCCTCAGGCATCCCGACGGACAGACAGACCTGTCATGTTGCCCAAACACGAACTCGGAGTCTGATCTGATTTAAATGCAGAACTCATTTTGTGACTTCGCTGTTGGATTGTCGGGATCAGCCCCTCCCCCCTCTCCTGATCCCCAGAAGGAAGACGGGGGGGGGGGATTTCTACTCCTCCTTCTCGCCCCCCCACCCGCTCAACACTTTCCCTCCCCTCCCGGCACATCCTTCTCTCACCCCGCCCACACAATCCCAAATCACACCCCCAATACATTCCTCCTCCTCCTCCTCCAATCCGGTTTCTGCTCCAGAAATGTGGGGCGGGGAGCCCCCCTCCCAACCTTTCTGCTTCTCCCGGAAGTGGAGCTTCCACTCCGGATTGCTTTTCTGCCCCAAAGCTGGG